CGACGGAGCCGAGGGGGAAGGAGGCGAGGGGGAAGGAGGCGAGGGGGAAGGAGGCGAGGGAGATGGAGGCGAGGGAGATGGAGGCGAGGGAGATGGAGGCGAGGGAGATGGAGGCGAGGGAGATGGAGGCGAGGGAGATGGAGGCGAGGGAGATGGAGGCGAGGGAGAGGGAGGCGAGGGAGAGGGAGGGGAAGGGAGATGGAGGCGAGGGAGAGGGAGGCAAGGGAGACGGAGGCGAGGGCGACGGAGGCGAAGGCGACGGGGGCGAAGGCGACGGGGGCGAAGGCGATGGCGGCGAAGGCGGCGAAGGCGACGGAGGCGACGGAGGCGATGGCGACGGAGGTGAAGGCGAAGGCGGCGATGGCGACGGAGGCGAAGGCGACGGAGGTGAAGGCGACGGAGGAGAGGGAGAAGGAGGCGAGGGAGAGGGAGGGGAAGGCGACGGAGGCGAGGGAGAGGGAGGCGAGGGAGAGGGAGGCGAGGGAGAGGGAGGCGAGGGAGAGGGAGGCGAGGGAGAGGGAGGCGAGGGAGAAGGAGGGGAAGGCGAAGGAGGCGAAGGAGAGGGAGGCGAAGGTGACGTAGGCAAGGACGGAAGCGGTGGCGAAGGTGGCAACGGAATTGGTGGCGACGGCGGGTTGTTGCCACCGGTGCGTGTAATTGGGCAGCAGTCCAGCGAGTAATCAAACATGGCGGCTATGCACGACCCCGGCGCCATGCCATTGGGTGGAACGCACAGCTGCTCCAGCGTGGTGCAGCCCTGACCGGCGCTGTTGGGTTTGAGGGTGATGCAAACCTTGGCTCCGTTGCTCGTCAGGTTGAGACCCAGCTGAGTCACTCGCAGAATGCTGCTACCCGGCGGACCATCTTGGGGCCGATCAAATGAGGGACTGACTGCTGTGGGAACACCGTTGACAGTTGCCGATACGGAGGCGCCAGGGACCAAGCAGCTGCTGTACACGTTGAACTGTGATGAAGCGGTAAAAGAAGCAAGGTCCAGGGATATGTATAAAATGCGTTGTGGGTACACCTCAGCAAGGTGGCAAGGATGACAAATCGGAAAACTTATTCATCCTCCGGTTTTGGGAACGATACAAGGCGGTACGCTAGCATTGTGGAGATCGTAAGACAGAGAAATGTGATCAGTAACGAGTAATCTGTATTATAAATTAACTTGCGCATTGATACTGCTGGGATTGTTAGGGTCGCTTTTACTAAAACTGCTAGACAGATGGCGTTGCAGAACTTTCGCGTGGCAAATATAATAATAATTCCAAGCATCTTTGATTGGTCTTCTTAGATGTAAAATTCGCAACCTTGAACCTGCCCCAAACCGCCCAAGCAGCCGGCGCACCTCAATTTTCTTCAACGGGACATTGCAGCATGTTTTGTTGCAAGGTACGGCCAGCAGGGTGAAGCAGTACTGGCCTCCGCCCACGTTGGTGACGACTGGGGCGAGACTGAAAGAAGCTTGCGCCCGAGCGCACAAGAAGAAGGGGAAATAGGGCACCGCGCCCGTCTGTGTGTACGCGAGCTCCACCGGCGCGACCTGGGCGGTCGCTCCACACGCCCTGCAGCCAAGTGAGGGAATGAAGGAGCAGGCAAAGCAAAACCGGCAGAAGTGCCATTGGCTAAGTTTGAGATTATATTATTGTCACCAAACGAATGCTTGGATGCAGGCATGATTGCGTGTTTAAGTTATCTGCGGCATTATTGCTTAGGCCCGTCATATCACTTTAATATTCACATCCAATTCCAGCGCAACAGCCTAACTTCTTGTGACATTGCTAGTGCTGGGCAATCAATCGTTACCATGCAAGTGCCAGAGCCGAAGCCACGAGGAGAAGCGGAGGCGCCATGGTTGGGTTGGCGACTTCCGACTGAGGAACAAAGAACGGACAAGGCCTTTTATGTGGTCCTGTCTCCGGCCTCACCTGCACCGCCCGCCAGCAGTTTACCACGCATGGGCCTAATGCACGGCGGTTTTCAGCTTTCTGATGTACGCTCCACGCTGCTGAAACCATGACCGTTCGGCACGGATTTTGCACGATACTAGCTTGCTGCGCGCGGATGCATGGAGTTCATGTAAGCGTGGCGGTGAGTGCCGTAAATGTGATGGTGTTGCGGTCCAGTCTGTCCCCCATGGTAGCTGACAATTTTCGGATAAACTTTCCAACTGAAATTGCAGCTTGCAGCAGGTAGGTGATGCCATCGTTTTAGCTGCGCGATATGCCGGGCAACAGCTAGCTAAGGACGTGTTCACGTGTATGCGATTGGGGCTGATCTGAGGTTGGCACGAGAGAGGTTGGCTCCAATTAGGGCGACTTGGATCCCGATGCGACTCGGGGTCGGGGGTGGATGGGCCTCGCTCTTCGGGTTGCTTTGACCTGATCGTCTGATTTGCCTGATCCTTCCATAATCTTTCAGAAGACAAATAAATTACTCTAAAAGTCCTGCATGACAGCTTAACCTATGCGGCTGACATTTTTACACAGCGTGCGCTGTACTTTGGTTTGAATTGAGACCATGTATGCACAAGTTATGTAGGATTACAGCTTCATTAAGAAAAGATGAAAACGACAATTGTAAGATTTCTAGTTAATAATGCTGACCGCCTTACGGATTCCAAATCTCTCCTAATAGCTACATGGACAGGGAGAGGGGAAACCACAAAGGCATGGCCACTAGGACGTGGCATATATGTATATATACAGGTATATACGGTGGAGAACCACCACCCAAACGGTCCCAGGCAACTACCTGGAGGTCCAAAACGTCCACCAAAATCTACCAATAGCCTTGTAGCACTGGCAGCTGGCCGCTGAAAAGGCCTCTCGCCATGCTGACCAAGCGCTTCGCGCGTATTTGTAGCTGATATGAGTGCCGTACTGTGCACCCCCTTACGGCCCCATACACAAGCCTGTGCCTACCATTGCCTACCCCGGGGCTGAGGGTGCGCAGTCCACGTCATGTCACGTGCCGCCCACGCAAGCGCCTAGATGTCTTTAGGTTTTCGGGCACAGAGTCTTCCCAGGCAGCCACAGCTACATTTTGACTCGAGTTTTCCTGCAATGACAGTCATCTATCCCGATATCCACTTTTTGTGGATCGTTGGAGTCGAGCTGATGATAACAGGATTGCAAACACGTCCAAGGTCTCGATACCTACCAATTGTGTAGTAGCTGGCCGCTGAAAAGGCCTCTCGGGATACTGATCGAGCGCTTCGCGCGGATTTGTAGTTGATATGTGTGCCGCACTGTGTACCAGCTACTACAAGCCAGCTAGTCCACAGTCCGAGAGCTAAGCAGTCATGCATTGTTATAAGCACACGCAGTGAAATGCATGGGGAGCATCGTGGCGTCTACACAGGGATCAGGGAGATGATAGTACGACGCTTGACCTAACACCCTCAGTGATGCGGAGGTGAGGGTGGAGAGGCTGTGTCCGTGGGCCCCTTGAGCACCACACGTGTATGCGGGACACACAAGACATGTAAGGGACAGGGGTTGCCGCAACATCCGTTGCCGGCCTTGTTCGAGCGCCGCTACTTCCCACCACACAAGAGGGTGAAGTCCCGATGGGGGAATGGCGAGCCACAGGCAACGCCGTTGGGGGGCCGTGAGCAGTACACCCCCCTTTGCCCCCATCGCTATGGCCCCATGGCCTCCTGTAGTGTCCATGCGACCGTCGTTTGTACAGTTACTTTGGCCAATGCTCGGGGCCTCCGAAGACTTGCAGTGTGCCACGATGAAGCTCGCGGCTGTGGGGCGGATTGCTGAAGCCGCTGGCGCTTCGGGGATAAACATCACAGACAGCACCGGGAAGTGCTGCGGGCT